AAAAAATTATAAAAAAAAAAAAAAAAAAAAAAGGACACAGCAGGTGGGGGAGGTGAGTGGGGAGGAGGAAGAGAGGAGGCCTTGTTGCCAGGCAATCAGGCCTGCTCAAGGCCTCTCCAGGCTGTTTGCATATCAATGAGCAGCCCATATTTAGCACCAGAGTTGGGGCACCCACACATACTGCATTGCCTTCAGGCTGCCCATCGCTGAGGGCTCAGCCTGCTTTCTACTGCTCACCAGAAGCCTTGTGACGGTTGTAAAGATCTGCCCCCCACATTGGGCAACTGCCCCAAGTGGCCCCAGCCCCCACAGTCCAGCCTCTCACGCCAGTGCTGAGAAACCAGTGCAACAGATGCCAATTCAGTGGCCTCAGGGCTGGATCAGTGAGGTTGCATGCACAGACAGGAAGCCACACTAGAGCTGGTTTTGTTCACACGGGCACTGGGAGCCTCACATACTCACTGGAGCCCGTGAGAAAGTTCCTCAGATACAGCTAGTGGGCAGAAGCCTGTGAACAACCACAAACAGAGGTGGCTACATGTATGCAGGGGGGAGGTAGAAATCCACTCTTGGAGAACTATACCCCGCACAGTCATTCCTGACCACATGATGCTGTCAATGCAAAATCCACAGCTTTCATCTTAAAGGGAATAAGAGATCATTTATTTTGGAGCCATTTTGAGCAACAAAGGGCCAGGAACATTGATTTAGATTACTCAAGATTTTACATCCTGACATGAAATCAGTTTCATGAAGTTTTTATAGTTTTACAGACTAAAGAAAGTCATAAGACAAGTTTAAAATTACATTGATGGGTACATTAGAGAGATAGGTACAGCAAGATGGGCAAGCTTTTCTATAGGCCCAAGATGCTATCTGAGCTTTTGGGTCAGTGGAAACTAGGGGTCTGCTAAGTTAATAGATTCTAAAAAGCTTAGCTATTAGTCACGGGATATTAGTTCTGACAGAGTGGACACAGGCAAGGAGTGGCTGTTCTGGAAGGCTAGAATCTCTCCACCATACTGAAATTCAACCTGTCTCTGCAGGCACAGTAGATTATCAGGGATTTTGTTCACAATGCATATATGTTGTATATATGCCCAGACCTGGCCCCTACCAACATGGGCTGGATCACTGTAGGGGTTGCCATCAAAATCACATCCATAAGTTTGGGGTCTAGAGTCTGATACCACATTAGTGGCCACCAAGCTCCAAGGAGGTGGTGAGTGAGATAAGAAACTAGTGACACCATTATAATCTACTCCCCAGCCCCAACCCCAGAGCTGATTTGCATGCTAGTGAAAGCCTCAGCACCTGAGGTGTGTCCCCAGAGCCAAACCCTGTGAGGAGAGAAGGGAGAGAGGTGAGGGTCATAGGGATGAGAGAGGTGGGGGAAGCAGGTCTCTGATAAAAATCAGCAAATGATAGACAGTCCCACTTGGATGACACCTTCAAGGTCACCAAGTCTCAAGGCTCATTTGCATATGAGGAAAGTGATAGAGGAGACTTACAAAGCAAAGACAAAGCAAAAGATAAAAGAAGAAAAAATTCAAAAGGGAATGAGGGAAGGGGAGAAGTGGGCAAGGAGGACCTGAATGCATCTACTCCCCAATTAAAATACAAAACTCAAGATGGTTGGGAAAGAAATCACACTTAATCAAGGGTCAGCCCTGAAAAGATGGTGGGGACTGTCATCCCCAGAGCATCACCTTAAGAAGCATGGGCACATGAAAGGGCTGTTATAGAGACACGCCTGGAAATCGGCAAAACAAACAAACAAACAAACAAAAAACCCATGCCCTAAGCAGGGTCCTGCTCTTGGAACCTGCATCTTTAGACATACATCTTAGTTTCCTACAGTGTAACCCTCATAGCGGTTTACTCGGTTTACTCGCTTTGCCAGAGCTGATGCCCAGGACCAAATAGAAACAATATTACCCATTCTGGTGGCATCCAAAGATCATCAGTCATTCTGAGTTCTATCAGGCTAAAGAAACATCTTGATCATTTAGGTGCATTTTTCTTTGGGACTTAGGGTACAGTGCAAAGGGAAACTGAGCACAAAGGGACTTTGCCAAGAACCACTCTGAAAGGAGCCACCAAGGTACACCCATAGCCACCTTGTACCCGTGTGGGCTTGGAGCTTCTGGTTTTCCTCTCCACGGTCATTCCACAGCTGAGTCAGCAGATCTGCCTGAGGGGCCAACAGACACACAGCCCTTCTCCATGAGGCTGCTGCCCAGGCTCTGAGGTCCTTTGAGAACAGGGGCCAGAGCCAGGTACATACCCAGCTGGCCTTCTACACAGATGGTTCACTACTGGGACACTCGCCTTCTCCTCATTTTCCTTTTTGTTTAATGAACACATCTTCCTTTTTTTTTTCATCTACATACAAAAAGAAGGAACAAAAA